TTTTTTTTTTTTTTTTTTTTTTTTTTTTTTTTTTTCAAAATAGCCGGACGTATGTTGCTATACTAAACCTAGCCCTTTAATCAGTTTATTAATCATATTTATTATCATTGTCATTGTATTTATCAAACATTTAGTTCCAGTCTACAGTAAATATTCTGCTTATTTTTAATAAGACAATTTAACTTCTCACCCTGCCTCAGAGCTGTTCAAGTGTAGAGTTCTCCACCTATTATCATCAAACCTCATGTTATTGATCACAGTCGGTTTTGATTGGATGGAGCTGGTATTATCGTGTGTTAGGAGCATAAGTTTGCCGTGAAATAGAGCGATGTACAGGTAAATAGACCTTCCTCCAACCTGTAGATACAAAAAAAGCATAATCAGGTATCCAATGCTTCTAATGCATTTACGACTCCTGGTTGGACGTCATGTCTAACAAGTTTTGCGACCCAATAGTCCCTTTCACAGTTTCCTGCGCCAAAAGGTGACCTTGCAATGAGAGAGACCTTTTTGTAACACCTTGGACAATTTTCCACATGTCTCTATGTCCTTTATCATTGCAAGCTCACCGTTTGTCTCGCTTCGATGCAAAGGCACTGCTACCTTTCAAGACGGCGCAGGGAACTGTGAAAGGGACTATTGATTATGCAAGCAAAGGTCGAATTAGAATTTGGAAATTGATTTTTGTGGAGGGAGGAAAGACCCTCGAAGTACAGGAGAGAAGCAACAAACAACTCTTTTCATATAGCGGCGCATTAGCAGTGCATGCTATGATCTGATTGTACTCAATTCTAAAAGGAATGACGATGCAATCCATTAGTTCATCCAAAATGGCTGTCGGGGCGCGTCATCATTTGAAACAACTCCTATCTGCTTAAAAGCCAACTTTTGATATTCTGGTTGAGTATCTAGCACAAAACGATCCGAGTCGGGGCTCCAGGGAAAGAAAGAAATCAATAACGATTACGTTATCGTTTCCTCGGAGCCTCAACTCGAAATTTGACTGTGCTTCCCACTCAACCAGAATATCGAAAGGTGGCTATTATCTAGCTATCTTTTACAATCTTACATATATAAGGCTTACTTTTAAAGAGCTAAACAAGAGAACTCCGCTTGATTGTGAAGTCTTAAAGGTGAAGCTGAGACTGTCGGTCTCAGGTCGTTGGGTAGACAGGGCAACGTAACAACAGGATCTGGTCGCAGCTCTGTAGCCATAGAAACGGGCAGCTCCTGACAGAACCTGCAAATAGTTAGAGTTGTCAATATTGTTTTTGCGAAAACTGTTTTGGAAGCAACAGAGAACATGATACAAAACATGGTCTAATATAGACCGGGGAATAATGAATGGGTAATATGTTTAATAAGAGCTATTACATTGAAACACCGTAGAGTGATTTTACTTGGCCCACTAATAAAAGTTGTATAATTAAATTACTTAGTCATAGTAAATCAAATGAAAACAATGGAATTAGTGTTTACTACTATTAAAGTAACGGTTCTGTGTAAAAACAGTATGTACAAGTCAAATGTTTGACAGGTTAAAAACTCTTCCAGTACCGTGTAAACGCAGCCTTATTAATGCATATTTTTGAGCTCTAAATATTGATAATTCTTATTTATTTTGTCATGCCATTACTGATCTCTTTCGCCCTAAAAGTATCAAAATACACAAACAATACCTCTCCTTTCAGGACACCATCAGTAGCAACTCCTTTGGAAGAGGTAAATAGACGTCGTACTAGTGTACTTGTGCCATTGCGATTGAGTCTGACATCCTTCATGTCACCGACGAATGACTCGTTTACGGGAAGAGACACTTTACTGCAGGAAGAGGAAGGGTAAAGAAAAACTTGCAGCAGGCATTACCCTGGGTGCCAGAGGCCGTGTGGGCCTCTGGCACCCAGGGTAAGCAGGCATATAAAATTTGAATCATTTTGGAGCATTTTCCAGTTTTAAAAGTATAAAATTGAATTGAAAATGCGTTTCAAAACGACAGCAATGTTTTCGTCTTTTGAATCTTTTGAAAATGTTTGCAACCCAGCAATTCAAGCTTTAAAAACGAGTAAAACGGCTTCAAAATGACCACCATATTTTTGTCTTTGAATCTCTTAGGAATGTTTGTAACCCAGCAATTATATCTCTAAAAAGTACCGATTTCATTCCGAGTCTATCCTTACCTGTTTGGTGGAAGGCTACCAAAGAATATGAAGTTCCCTGAGGGTAGTTTAGAAGCAGCTGTGCTCATACTGCTGTTATCCAAGGTCGTACCATTATGCGATACTGTTAGAGACACTGAATTGCTGTTGACAACTGCTGACACGTGGTACCACTTGCTATCGTTGTATTTGGAACTGGAATACAAAAAAAAAAAAAAGGAATTTGATCGATCGATTTTATTCACGGCTATTACACGCATTTACATAACTGCTGACTGAAACAACAAGTCTTGGATTTTTGGCTACCGTCATTCCAAAACAAAATGCCCCGGCTAACTCGGACTGTCGGAATATTGATTGACGTGCTGCATTATCATGACATCCGATATAAATTTATAGTGTTTATGGAAATCACGGAAATTGAAAGAATTAATTAAGGGAGCTGCTATCATCATCACCTGTTAAAATAATAGCCCAGTCAGGATGGACATAACATATACTAATGATATCCGACGTCAAATCATTTTTAAGTATTGGTTTGCTTATGTATTATGTGGATAAGACTTATTCTTGTTACTTTTCCGCATAATTTCAGACGGCTTACCCTTTGGTTATCACTGACACAGCACCACCTTCAAAGAACACCATCACAACTACACTTCCGTCTTGAATGAAAATAGCCATTGCAATCGTACGTTCTACTTCGCTAGTCACAGCAAACAAAGTTCCATTACTCTTGGACGTCCTAAACTCTAATTCCACATGAGCGTACCCGGAATCTGTAGTAAACTCGCCAGTGCTTTGTTGGACAAATCCATTATGGAAGAAGCTGGCTGCTTGTCCATATTTGGGGTAATAAAAATTGGGGAAGCGCGGCAGGCCATACAAAGCAGTACTGCTAGATCTTTGAGGCTTCCACAGATCATAGGTGACTTGATCCATAGAACACAATGAAATGGTTCCTTTGAAGTACGGTAGTGAAGTGAGCTCAACTGCCCGAGCTGACCTAGTCTATTAGTGAAAACATACATATTTAGATCAGTCAGTTTGGGTAGTTTACTATCATTTACATTAGAATATAAAAGCCTTTTCATTAATATCGTGGCTCCATTTAATAAGCAAGGTAATTCTAGGGAAATGTATGGTGGGTGAGTGCTCTACAGAAAATTCAAACCCTATTTTCCCTGTTTTTTAACTTTTTATTAGATACCATAAACATATTTCGTACAAATTAGAATGGATGATTATTACTACTTTTTCAAAAGATATTAGTGTTTATTTATTATCGATTTTGCTTTCAATTTCCTCGACCGGTGGTTATGATGACCCTATAAGAAAATCATAATACGAATGATTCGCGGCAAAAAGGCTGGCAATCAAGATATTATCTATTATGGATAGAATGTTACGAGCTTACCCTCGGTACGACTGATGGTCCTCCCAACAAAACAACTGTGGCGTTGGTGAAAGATATAGTAGCATTCTCATTTCCACTACTAGCATCGTGGGTAACCGTTATAGACTGCTGGGAAGATGTGACTGATAAAGCTGAGGACGCGCCCATTCTGAACAAAAATAGAAATTAAGAATAACCAAGCTAATGAACTTATTTTCATACTCCCTTCTCTCTCTTTCTTTTTTTTTTTTTTTTTTTTT